ATAGCGGTTTGCACAACCCACCAAAGAAGATAGTAACAGTAAAATTCAAAACTCTATTAATTGCATATTTATTCAAAATCCAATTTAAAAATCTTTTCAGTTAATGTTAATTCAACAAAATTGTTGAACATGATACCAGGTTTTCAAAGTCTGATAGTCATTTAGCAAGAACCTTAGTAACTAGTAACTTAGTAAACTCAGTAAAATTTAAGAATTTACTGAAGAGTTAAGTAGTTACTAATGTGATGGATGGGCTTGATGAAGTGATACCAGTTTCCCAATGTCTGGTTTTTAAGTCACTTAGCAGGAGTCTTAAATCACCATGTTCTGTAATCTGGAGTCGATTTCTTTGCTTGGAAGAGAAGTTGGATGACCACACTGAAATCACATTCCACCAAATATGATGTTGGAAATACCACAGGAACTTCTTAACCACTGTCCATAGTGCAGGATAGCGATCAGAAATTTCCTTCTGTAACCTTGGTACGATTTCTTAAACTTTGACTTCAGCTCAATGTCATTTTTCAGCTCTATTAGTTGTTCCTCTACTACTACATCTTCCTCAATATCTTCTCAGTATCTGGAATTTCCATCAAAAGAAGATCCTGATATCGCTCAGACATATCTTTATGCAGCATGTCCAAATGGTCACAAAAAACTTGCAGATCATCATCTTGTATCCCACCTTTCTCTTCTACCTCAGACAAGCTCAAAAATTGGTATAGCTCGTGACGCCCTGTGTTGCACTTGAATAGAGCTAACTTTGAAATAAACATAGAGATGACAGATTTGTCCTTAATAAGATTGACCTCATTTCCTTGCAACTGCAAATTCACTTCATTGAACTTTGTAAACAGTTCTGATAAATAAGCAACGTCATTCCTGATCTCTTTGAGTTCACTGAGCAAAGCATTCTTGCCTTAAAAGAAAACTCCACAACAGTGTCAAAAAGATTGTAAAGCTTCTCAAACAGTTGCCTTTTGATAGCCAACAAACTTCTGTATGAAGCAGCAAATGACCAAAATTTTCATCATTCTCAACACAGCTCTCTGAATAGTCGATCATTGAGAGCATGTACTTTAATTTTGTTCACTGCAGTAATGACTGTGTGTAATGACTTGTGCAAGCGATCACTGAGGTTTTTTGCAACCAGCCTAGGCCAGCCCAGGAGCCAGGACTCAACTGGGGCTGGCAGCAGCAGTATGTAGGCAACCGGGGCTTGCAGAGCGTCACACTAGGGAGATCAGATGGTGGAAGACAGGCAGGGATGGATGGGTGGATGGTGTTGGAAGCGATGGCAGTGGGCTGGCTGGTGCTGGAAGTGATGGCGGCGGGCGGGAAAATGTGGGAAGCGAGCTCACATGCACTATATAAGAAGTGACTGGGTGGGCGGGGGGAGAATGCTGTCAGCTATTGAGCATGCGTGCAATGTCACGCATGTGCAATAAGGACTGACGGTAGGGAATAGAGGAGCGGGCAGAGAGGGGCAGGGCCAACCAGGGGCCCGTTTTGCCGGTTCTCCAAACTTCTGGGAACAGTAACAACCGGTTCTTGCGAACTGGTAGAATCCCACCCCTGAATTGCGCCCTGTGAGGGGCCCACCTGCAGCGCTCCCCCGCTGGCCCCCTTGCCTCTTAGCGCCCCCTAAAGCATCCCCCCCCAGGGGGCTGCACCGCCCACTTTGGGAACCACTGGGTTAGAGGGATATTTCATCTCTGGTTCTAGATTGAGTTCTGATCCCTGTACTGAACAGATTAATAATAAGGTTTTACTAAACTCACAGTTCCTGCTGAAAGAGCAGGTGATGATTGTGGTCAGAAGGACTTTTAATAGTTTCGTCTGATGCAGCAATTACCTTTTCTTGAGTGAAAAGTCCTTTTCATGGGCATTTATGTCTCCTTGGACTATTATAGTGCATTCCATTTGAAAACAGGAAGCAATCAAAACTAGTTGTTTTATTAAGTGGGGGGGTTTAAATGAAAGAAGATTCATCCTGTATCAGAATATAAAATGAATCAGGGCTTATGAACTATTCTAGAATATTTTCAGATATCACTGTAACATTGAAAGTTCTACTTTCTACAATAAATGTATGTTCCCTGATCTTTATTTCTATCAGTCTGCCCATTATCCTCTTCACATATCATTAATGGAATATATGCCCTCTTAGGGAAGACTGAAGCAAAATCAAAGGTGAATAACTTCCTGTTTTTCTGCTACCTGTTATTATTATTTTTCCAAAAATTTTATTCAATTTTTACATATTACAGAAAAAAAATCTTTTTTCAGTGAACGGCATGATTCCAGGTTAACACATTTCTATTACAAACTTGACTTTCATTTCCTATTCATCTTTCACATTTAATGACTTATCTTAATCTTACTTTGTATATTTTCTTTAATTTTAATCATCAAGCTTTTCCCATTTTATTTTATAAAAGATTCCCATAGTTTAACTTTGAGTTAAGACTTTAAAAAAGAAAACAAAGACACAATAATAACTTTCTAGTAATTACTACATTACGTATACCTCTTTTAAACCTGGGTCTGCAAGTTCCCTTTCTCATTACCTAAAAGATACATCTAAATTAAGAAAATTATAGATAAAACAAACATAATTCCATCATTTCATAAGAATTAATATTGTTTTCCCTTTAACATTAGTCTTGCTCTGTCTGCCACAACTTATTAATTCATTTAATATTATTAATATCTTTATTCTAGTTCCTCTCTTAATTTCGTATCATAAAGAAAAAGAAGCAAACAGTCACTGCAATAGCAAAACAATATCAGTCCCTATCTCCCATTTTTAAAATAATCTATATTCCACTATTTTCTGGACAAACTTAATATCTTTGTTCTGGTTATGTCTCTTAATTTCATATCATAAAGAAAAAAAGCAAACAATTACAGCAATGGCAGAACAATATCAGTCCCTATTTCCCATTTTAATAATCTATATTTCACTATTTTCTAAACAATCTTATCATTTCTTATTTATTTAAAGTAGTCCTTATACACTTGCAGAATCCCCTTCTTTCAATTCTCAATCAACCATTATCTCTGTGCCTTTTAATTTTAAAAAACCATTTCATTTTTATGTGCTTGCCATATTCCTTCCTTTCCAAATCCCGTTTCATTCTTGCTCTCTTTTTATCACTCCAATTTCTGTTTCCCTTCTTTTCCATTACTCCCCTCTGAAATTTCCTTTCCTGCTGTTTCCTTTTCTTTTGTTCAGTTTTTAGAAGAAACCCCTTTTTAATTATGATGTTAAGCCTCCTATTATTAATTCTCTTTCTATTCCTCCTTTGCTTAAGTTTCCGTTGTTTCAAGTGTTCATTTAAGATGGCCACTTCTTGTGTTGATTTCTCTTGTTGTTCTTGATATTTTAAAACCTCCATTTCCAAAGATTGCAATGCGAAACCAAATGATTTGCCTTCTTTTTGTAGCATATCTTTTATGTTTTTAAGTTCCAATTTAAGGTTCAGTAACATTCCTGCCATCTTTAAACAATGTTTATTAAAGTTTTTCCAATGTTTAACTCTTACTGACTCCTCCAAAGATTTCCAGATTAATTCCACTTTTCAATATCCATTAATTAAAGTTGTAATTCAAAAACCCACAGCTTCCCTTTGTTTTCAAATTGCACTTTCACTTTCCAAAGTCCCTATTTTGTAGTATCCTAATTCCAGTTATTTTGTATCAAGTAGGTAACGGATCCATGTTTTAAAATAGAAAGAAATTGTATAAACAATTCCCTTCTCCACTAGATGGCACTCTTTGCTGTATTCAAAGTCAATTCTTTTTCTTGTTCCCATCTTTTCTTCACTCTTTCAAAGTTTTAAAGTTCCAATATCAGTAAATCCATACATTAATTTTCAAATTTTATTTTCCACCTTGACACAGCCCAGTCCAGCTTTAATAAACCTGTTTGGTGTCAGGGTTTTGTATTTAATTATTTCAAACACAAGCTTCTTCTTCTGGCTTCTTTTAAGTACAAAGCCACTTCATCTGTCACTTATTTTCTTTCTTAATTTCTTTGTCCACCGCTTAGATCCACTTTCTTAATGTTGTTAAAAGATTTCAAAACCAGGGTACCTTATGCCAAAATTACCCTGGTTTCTATGCTGTCCTCTTTTTCACCGCTCCTCCTGCACAATCTTATTCCAGCTGACTCTTCCCCTTCAGGGTGGCCATTTTAGACCACCGCTTCAGACATCTTCGGGAGGGAGTATTTGCCAAGCCAGGGAGGGGATATGCGGCTCTCCTCTACCCAGCTGGAGGTCTCCCCTTCTGCCGCCGCCCCTACGAGACAGCTTCTGCCCCTAATCTGGACTAATCTCCGACGAAGAAGCACAGATCAAAGCTGTGGACGATCGCGGTCAGCGGTCTGTCTTTGGGGAAGTTCAACCGGAAGTCCAGCTACCTGTTATTATTTTGCCATCTTCATTTAGCTACTGATTTGCTTAATCCTTCATCAACTTCAGCGGCCTCTTTATTGTTTTGGAATTTTTCTTTATAAATTTTTCCTTGGAGACATTCCTTTTTGCCATGTCTCATCAACTTATAATTTATGCCTAGGACTATAATTTTTACTCTTTTTTATTGGAACATTCAGATAAATAAAGTTTAGGCTTTTTTGAGCTTTATATTGAATGGAAAACAATGTTTAAGCAACTTCTTTTATAAGAGTCCGGCTTCCAATATTAAAAGCAGGAAAACAGAAAATCACTAAGATTTCAAAAATAAAATTGAATGCTAATGTAACAGCTTATTTTAAAAAATTAAATTCAACCTATGGGAATCATATCATAGTTAATGTGCTTTTACTCTTGTATGCTTTATATTCAATTAATCAAAATAAAAAATTGTTTAAAAAAAGATATTTAAATGACTACTTTCGTAGTTCAATAATCATAAATAAAATCTTCACAATAGCTAATTGAATAAAATGTCAGAGTTTGATGTTAATTTTGTTTCCAAAACTTTTTCTTCTATAGTTAATCCTCAGTAATGTGGACTCTCTACTATATGTTGACACAGACATCTTGTTCTTAAGACCAGTTGATGATATCTGGTCTTTCCTGAAAAAATTCAACTCTACTCAGATTGCTGCTATGGCACCAGAGCATGAAGAACCTCGTATTGGGTGGTATAATCGTTTTGCTAGGCACCCATATTATGGAAAAACTGGAATCAACTCTGGAGTAATGTTAATGAACATGACCCGCATTAGAAGAAAATATTTCAAGGTAGTGTGCTTTGGTTCTTTTTCATTTTCAGTACTTTTCTGTAAATTAAAACAGCATGTTTTTAGTATTATCACAGAATGGATTCTAACTAATCCTATATACCGTATTTGCCGGCGTATAAGACGACCCGGCGTATAAGACGACCCCCCACCACCACCAGAAACGCCCTCCAGAAATCCCCGGGGCTGCAGCGGCAGGGCGGAGTGCCAGGGGCCGTGGGAAGAGCAGGAAGGCTGCAGCCTCGGGCGGAGCGAGGCGAGCGGGATGAAGCGGAAGCGACGCAGGGGATCCGGGAAGCCAGAGGCACCTTCGCTGCGTCCAACAAGCATCCGAAAGCCGGCAGTGGATATACCGGCGTATAAGACGCCCCCCCCCCACTTGGAGGCATGTTTTTCGGGGCAAAAAAGTCGTCTTATACGCCGGCAAATACGGTAAACACCATATACTGATGATTCTCAATTGTTTTTTAATGGAATACTTTTTTTCATTTATTTTTTCATTTTTTATCTGCTTCTTCTCACCTACTCATTTCTCATTGTTCTTTTATCTTGAAACTTCATGTTAAACTGACTCAGTTATTTGTACTATGAATATGTATGCAATCTAACCAGAAGGTGGAGCTATTAGACTATTGACTTAAAGCTTTAGAATGCATGTAAGATTATGTACAGTCATTTAAGACATTTGTTTCATTCTCACAATTTACCCAAATTATTTTCTTTATAAGGACATGATAGACTCATGAAATGTTTCATTCCAATGTAAAAAAAAATGTAGCCTAGTTTTTTTATTCCTTATGCAAACTCCAGATCAAGGTGTGGAAATGTAACATCTACTACCCTTTTAATTGTAAAATGTTTGAACTGAAAATATGACTTTTAGGTGGCTTCTAGCATGCCTTTGGATTCCATGTGTCATTTGGGCCCTGAAAGATTTTATAAAAAAGAAAAAGCAAGAGCCAGGATTTAACCTTGCATTTGAAAATTGAAACTATTATTTAGATTCGTGTATCATTTTCAAATTTAGATATTTATAACTAGCTAAACATTATCTTGTTTAGTGTAGAAATGTTTCATGCATTATTAGACAACACTAAAATACATAAATCTCTGTTTTTACATATCCTCTCTTACTCACTTTTGGAAAGTATTATATATTGACCCTTGGGTCAATATAGAATACTTTTTGTTACACTTGTAGAAGTTTGTACTTTGATCTTGTGTAATCTAAACTGAATATTCTTTTGGTTTTATTTTTTATAAATATTTAATAATAAAAAACCATTGCCTATTTAAATCAGAAAGACTTATTACTGTGACATAATACTGTATAAAAATGAGGCATTGTATGATAAAGATTAAAGAAGCATATATTTTATCATAAAAAGTAGGATCTAGATCCCCTTATTTCTAATTCTGGTATTTTGATTTTGAAGAATGATATGACATCAGTACGATTACATTGGGAAGAAATTCTCATGCCACTGCTGAAAAAATACAAGTTGAATATAACATGGGGTGATCAGGATCTTTTGAATATTATGTTTTTTCATAATCCTGGTAAGTTGCTTTTAAAAATACAATTTTAATTTGCAGTCTTAATATGATATTGCTATTTGTGTTATAGAAATATACTGTGTTTTAAAATGCTCCCAAGAAATTTAGTGTGTGTAAAATTTTTCAACTTTCAATTTCCAAACTTTAGGGGTGTTCAAAAGTTGTGACATGTCTTGGAGTTTGTAAAGATATTTGGTTACTTTAATATAATTAAATGTGCTTGGTCTACATAAATATCATAACTTCTTAACATTTTGATTATTTCATTTCACAGGTTCACCCGTCTTTCTCTTTTTGTTAAATGTTATTTTCTCTGACAGTGTTGATACTGCTGGCCTTGTTTCCTATGATAACTGATCTGTAATGGCTTCTTTAAAAAAACAAGACTGGGAACATTCATTCATACTAGAAACCTAATTGGGACTGGCAGAGACTCTCAACAATGCAAGATATTCTCAGATATCACCTACTATTAAGAGAACAAAATGGTGATGGTGCTGGAAACTCCCCAGCAGCCAGTCTTGCAAGAGACATAGGAAAACCTACTCACATTATTCCAGATAATCTGATGTATCTCATGAAGAAGAAAGGCATTGACAAAAGCTTGAAGCCATTGGAGGAAATTCTACAAATGTTAATACTGGCTCTGAAGGTGGTGGGTAAAGATCAAGCTTGATCGGAAGTTGATCTGGTTGGTGTGTGTAATCCATATGAATGAGTTACACCTATGATACTTAATCACAACATTGGATGGAAAGACCTTGTCTAATAACAAATGGGCAGGTAAAATTGGCAATATGCTGCACATTGCAACAGAACTTGGTCCTTCATTCACTGAATTTCAATTAGTGAGCCTCTTGTTTCACTGAGCAACAGTATTGTAAAGGATTCCTCTATGGATCAAGTGTATATGAATATAGTATCACATAGGCAGTAAGGACAGGAAGAACTTCCCACAGATCTGGCTCTTCTGGAAATTGGCCCCGCAAGCCATTCACGCTGGTTGACAACTGCAAATAGGCTTTGTCGAATATGGGTGTCAGAACATAGCTTTAGAAGCAAAACTCTCCAAAACTTAAGAATGATAGTGGAATACATCATTAGTGTGTACTACCCTTGCTGGTTCAACATTAAAGTAAAACAGTCCTGGATTGAAAGCCTGCATCGTGTTGTTCCAGCTGCAGGAAATCAGACTGCAAAAGAAGGCTGTAGTAGATGCTGTTTTGCCAACCATTCAGCGCTCAGCATGGTATGCTTTCAGTGAAATGATAATCCAGACACTCTTGTGTTGAGATGACATTCAAGAGAGGAGAGCTGGTGTGCAAAAGACCATTGACTTGAGGGGTGCAGATGACATGCTGGGAGATTTATCTGTACGTGCAAGAAAAACACCTTTAATCAACACCAGAGCATCCACTCTGCTGGAGCTGATTAACTGGTCTTAAGATGTATATGAGCCACCTTTGACGTGCAATCTAACTACAGCGGAAATAAAGTTTATTGACGAACCAATGCAAGTACCAAAATGTCTCTGTCATGCCTAATCAATAGAGAGATGTGTGAAACAGATCACAGAAGCAGCAAGCAAAGTATATACACGAGAAACATGAGGGTTATATCAGAGGCCAAGAAGCAAGTTGATAACTGATGTCAAACAAATCAAAACAAGACTTAATGAAACTTGCTTAAACATTTTAGTAACTCAGATAATTGTTTTCTGGCGTTAGTTTATGATTGCATGGATTATTTTTTGCTTAGCTAGATAAGATTCATGTAGAAAAAAGTTTTAATTTTTGTAAAACAAAGTGTAATTTTGAGAAGATAAAGTTAACAGTTACCCTGTTTCTCCACCAATAGGAAGGCCCAGCATGATTTCTAGGCATGAGGTAAAATTAAACCCTACCCCCAAAATTTAGGCCTATTTAATCCATGCGTTTCCCTGCCATTTCTCACATTGTTCGTTAAAACTACACGAGGTGAAGAGAAATGGGGGGAACGGGGGGAGAAAACTTGCCTTTAGGAGCGCCCTGCACGTAGAATACCCCAATGTACTACCCATAGAACATCGGCCAATAGAAGCTCCATGAAGGCAGAGTCACCAGCCGCTTCTATCGGCCGGTAGAAGCGGCCTCGGGGCAAACGCCCACACGCACTCCCCTCCCCACAAAGCCGTTTCTATTGGCCGATGGAAGCTCCCCGAAGGCAGAGACATCAGCTGCTTCTATCGGCCAGTAGAAGCAGCCTCAGGGCGAGTGCCCCACGCACACTTCCTTCGCCACGAACCCGCTTCTACCAGCTGATAGAAGCAGCTGGTGACTCTGCCTTTGGGGAGCTTCCATTGGCCGATAGAAACGGCTTCGTAGCGAGAGGAGTGCGTGTGGGTGCTTGCCGCGAGGCTGCTTCTACCGGCCAATAGATTTCCTCCCCCATGTGCACCCCCACCTAGAGCGGCCCATGCGCACTCAACTCTCCACGAGGCCGCTTCTACCAGCTGATAGAAGCGGCTGGTGACTCTGCCTTCGGGGAGCCTCCATCAGCCGATAGAAGTGGCCTCGTGGAGAGATGACTGCGCATGGGGCACTCTAGGTTGGGGTGGGTGTGGGGGAGGAAATTAAGCCACCCCCGAAAAGACGTCCTAGCCGTTTTTTCGGGGCTCAAAAAAAAAAAAAGAAGACCCGGCCTTATTTTATGAGAAACACGGGATTTGGGTTACAAGAGACTTATGTTTAGCTTCTTATGGTAAATCCACATATGATCATATCAGATGTGGATTTACCATACCAAGCTAAACATTGTGCAATTGCCAAAATAACAGCAAATTTGATGACGCAGTGAAGGGGCTTGTGTTCTGAAATGGTGTTGGGCAATTCTTATTGTGGCTTAATGGCTTTTGTTCTGTTTTGGTTCTTGAATGAAGGGGCTGCTTCTAATTCTGCCTTTGTTCACACTTCGCTGCAGGGAGTTTCAAAATATCCTGTCTGCATTTCTGAAAGCTGCCTCCTCAATTTCTGCTTGGGGGCACGGAGATTCGGCTGATTCCTGCTTCTAAAAAATATGTTTCTCCATTTCCCCTTTGGGAAAATAAGATATTCTGCCTTTTTAAAATATTTCTTAAAACATTTCATTCTTCTAGGAGGGGTAGGCACTGTCTTTCTACAGTTGTTATCAGTGATTGGGTAACTGAATTATTAGGGGAAGGTGGGCTACTACATTGATAAAAGTATAATTGTGAGTTATTCTTTTCAAATCCAAATAATTGGGAATAGTTCTGTTGCCACCTCACCTTTTTACTGTGTTTAGTTCAGACAAAGAGACAAATTTAAAAAAAGAGCAAAAAGAATGGTTAGGGAATTAAACATTAAGTCCTCAAGGACACAGTGTGTATTTTGCTTTTTTTTAAAATGACTGACATAAAGAAATAAAGCTCTCTTCAAAGAGTACAGAGGAAAGCCATTGCGTTTTCTTTAACATCCTAAAGTGCCAGACACAGAATAATGTTATTAAGTTGGAGGAAGACATTTCAGTTCAATGCTAGGATTTTTTTTTTTTTAATGGTAACACATTTCAACAGTTGAACCAAATCAAGTGAGGGTATAAGTTACACTTTGTTGTATGTACAATATTCAGGCAAAGTCTGGACAGAAATATTAGACATGCTTTAATTTTGATTTTTCCATTGAATAAGGGTTTGGACTTGACAGTCTAAGTTCTTCAATGAACAGTTTGCTTAGAAAAATTAATGAATGATTTTTTGTTTTTCTCTATAGAAAGCCTTTTTGTTTTTCCTTGTCAATGGAACTATCGGCCCGACCATTGTATTTATGGGAGCAATTGCAAGGAGGCAGAAAAGGAAGGAATATTCATTCTTCATGGAAATAGAGGAGTTTACCATGATGATAAGCAGCCAACATTTCGTGCTGTTTATTATGCAATTAAAAATGTAAGTAAACATTTTGATTTGAACTTTTAAAATTAAAAATAATTTTAGAACTCTACCTGAAGCTTTCCAATAAATCTATTATTACCAGTTATACAATAATAAATAAATATATTGAAAGTGCACATTCCAGAATATGTTCTGAAATATTCAAGAATAAAATAGACTTTGAAAGGAAGTAAGGCCTGTACAGAAGGGCAGAAGTTACGTCATTTACAGTATTGATTTCAGTGAGACACTGAAAACCTCTATACAAGCTTTTTTAATTTTAAATTCACCAAGACCAGGTGAGACACATTATTTTGGCTCAGGAGCACAATATTATGCTTAAGAAATTCCATGTAATATATTGCTTCTATAAATGCTTATAATTAGTAAATTAGCACTGGTGTACCAAAATAACAATTTCTACACAAGAGTATGACAATACCTTGTTTCCTTTTTATTGCTAAAATTATATGTGATGCTTTGTTATTGAAAAGTTTTATTTCAATGTCATAGTTTTAAAATTTTCTTATTTTAATTTTGTACTTTTTAAATATTATAGATACCGTAATTGGCATAAGTTTGCCAGTTATAAACTATTTCTAATAAACTATATATCAGCCTTTCAGTATACTCACTGAAAAGATATAAATGTCATAATGTTGCTTATTTTAATGTTCGTCCTATCTTGTATATAATATTCAAAAATCAATAGTATATTTTAATGGTGCTTTGTAGCATATTGTCATATAGGTATAAAAATGAAAAAAAAAGTACTATTGGGGGCCTTAGAATTTATTACACCAAAAAAAATGTGGTCTCATAAAAATTCAAATCCTTAATTCCTTTATTACCAAAAATATTAAGAAAACTGTTGGCTTTATTTATGATCAGCTTTTGTTTATGCAGAAAGCACAGAAAAGATGTAGATCAATTCCAGGAAAATAATAAAATTGTTTTATTTGTAATGTTGTATATGCATATATTACATCATTTATAACATTAAACAAACCTGTAACTGAAAAGCAATAGTCCAGATTTTCATTAAATACTGCATGTGCGTGTTTATAACTTAGTTTAATGAAAGTACCACTTTTTAAATGATTCATAGATTGTTATTTTATGCTGTTTCTACTCAATATATTGTTTATTAATATATCAGTTGAATATTCTGGGGAAAGTTTTTTAATTTTATTTAAAGTGACAGTAACTGAACATTGTGAATAATTAGATGATATTGCTGCCTTGCCTGATGATGATTAAGAATATTAAAAGCAGGGGCATGTTTTTTACTGGACCTAGATTATTTTACTTAGAAATACATATTTATAAAATGCAGAATATTGTATAACTGCAGTTTCAGAACTACATCAGAAAACCTGGCATTCTTGGAATGGCATTGGTAAATCTGACTTATCAATACAATGTTTCTAATACTTTTCCAGTATTCGTTTGAAGACGACCTTCTACATGCATTGCTTCTACCTCTTGAAGAGGAATTACAAAAGACACAACATACCTACTGTGGAAGAATATACAAAGTGTTCATAAAACAACTCACAAAAAGTATAAGGGACCTTAGTAACAGAAGAACTAAGGAAAGGTGATCATTGCAAGTTCTGCTGTCCAGACTTTTGAACTGAACAGACCAATGTAGGAAAATATTTGATACCTGAAGGCTGTTCCTACAGAAATGGTGTGCTCTAATATGTTGTTATTTGAAGTTTGCATTATCTCCCATTGAGGACAAAATGAAGATAGTGAGCATGTTAGGTATCTACAAGTTGAAGGTTGAAAATGATGATGAAGCATAGCTTGTGAAACCACATGTATCATACATCAGTGGTCCCCAACCTTTCCACCTTGGCAGCCTGGCCCAGCATGGGAGAAGGCATGTGATCAGCAGGCACATGCATGCACGTAGATACAGCTGTATTGGTGTGGGCACATTCCCTCCACTCGCACAAATGGAGCTTTGCATGCAACCGGAGGGTGCTTCAGTGGAGGGTGTTTCTGTTCGCGCGCAAAGCTTCACTCACATGAGTGGAGGGCACTTGTGCTTGCATACAAAACTCCACTTGCACAAGTAGAGAATGCTCATGCGCAAAGCTCCATTCACATGAATGGAGCTTCGTACACAAGCACAAGCACCCTCCACTCAAGTCCCTTCCACTCTGTGAGTGGAGCTTTGCACATGAGCAAAAGGGTTCGCTGCTTGCGCAAGTGCAGTTTCGCGCGCACATGCTTGTTCGCTACTCACACAAGTGCTGCTTCGTGCAGGCCACGGCCCAGGAGTAGGCTGCAGCCCAGGGTTTGGGAACCTCTGTCTTAAATACTTGCATCTAACATTGGGTTACAAGTTCAGAAAGGCTAGGATTTGCTTAGTGATATCACAGTGAATGGGGATTGGTTATTATGTTTTGTACCATAATACTTTATGGGCTTATCTTGAATTGTTCTTTGCAGAATTGTTTTTTAACTTAGTAGGGATCTTTGAAGTTGAATTAGTACATGTTACTGCAGTGAGTTAGGAGAGCTATATTTGTATTCAGGTTTATTCTTTATAATTCAATTCAACAAACCTGCAAAGAATCAGATAAATTTGAAGGGGTTTACGTTTTAGGAATGGCAAAATATATTATCATCTCTAATCTCAATTTTACTTAACTAAATGAAAGAATAATTAAGTCAGCACTGTATCCACTTTAAAAGTGTAAGAATACGTTGTTTACAAAGCTCACAAGTTACTTCGTTTTAAAGAAATATGTGATGATTGACAATCTATACGCCTTTGTTTTCATGTCTTATACTTTAAAAGATTTGACAACCATGTTTTACACATATTCAGCTGTAAACTGCACATGACAATAGAATGTTCACTCTATGCAATATTACTTAATGGAAATAAATTTAAGCTTTTCAGTATTTTCATTATGTATTGCTATAAATAATTCATTAACATGATATTCTACGACAGTTCTGAATTGTAATTTTTCTCACTTCCAGTCTGCATGGCCATAGTGGAGAACATCGGGTACTAATAAGCAACAATGTACATCTAAGGAACCTTATGGCAGAATAAAATGTTTGGGATGGTCATATTCACTAGATCTTCATATATTTCTCCTATATTTCAATAATGAACCACCTGAATGGATAATCGTGTAATGCTATATAAAGTATTAGAATTGAACTTCATTTCACATTTTTTGCATATCAAATATTTATTGCAAATTAGGCAATAAGTTTTAAAATGTTTGGTCAGAATGTATATTTAAAAAAATATCTGATTTCATAGGAACTATAGAAAATAATGTTCTAAAAATAGAAATTACTAGCAAATGTTGAATTACATATTTTTTTACTATAATAGTTGAAATATGCATGTACAAAATGTTGAAAATATCTGAAAAGTTTTACAAAAAGTGGATGGAATTTTGTTAGAAGCCTTAGCTGCAGTCTTTTTGAACTTCTAGAAATTTGGGATCCAAAGCTATAATGCATCCTTTATTGTCCTTCATTTGCTAGGCCATAACACAAAAGGAGAAAACCAATATCTAGAAAGAGCATAGTATATTGCAAATACAGATAGTCCTCTTTTAGCAACTGCCTCATTAGTGATGCTTTGCAGTTATGAGGTGACAAAATAATAACTTCATAACCAAGCTTTTCATTTATGGTCTTTGCATGTGTGGAAAGCTGAAGTAAAGTCATAAGCATAGTTGTGGTTTCACTTTGTGACTGCTTCATTTAATGACAGGCTGTTGGTCCCAGTTGCCATTAATATATCCTGCCACAAAATATTGTCATTGTGTTTTTTCAAAACAGCATCACCACAGCTGTTTTAAAGAGCCATGACGGCACATGGTTAGAACAACCAGGAGTTCAATTCTGACCGAGTCAAGGTTGATTCAGCCTTCCATCCTTCTGAGGTCGATAAAAAAGAACCCAAATTGTTGGGGACAATATGCTGACTCTGTAAATCGCTCAGAGCTGTAAAGCACTACAGAGCAATGTCAGCCAGAACTCCAGCATGGGTTTTCCCTTTGATGCATGCTTGCTATTGGCTGCCACAGTAACGGAGTAAACGGCTCACGGCATTTGGGTTTGGGAAGTGAGCTGGTGTGATGAAGACCCATGTGAACTAAAAGGGAGGTTTGCTCTCAAGAAATACTGTGCTGCTGAGTGGAGTTATTTGCACCCAGTCAAGGCCAACCATCCTAGAACTCCAGATGGGCAAAAATACCTGAAGATGAGCTTCACATGACATGCGGGACGTGGATTGGACATTCAGCCTGGGACCCTGTGGGGGGAGGGATTTGCGGAAACTTTCAACCTATAACTTTCGTACCCTTTGACTCAGATTCTTGCTTTGCTTTCGCTGCTGTCATTTCAAACTCAGTAAAAGTAACTCTTCTCTACTTCACTGGAGTTGGGGGTTTTCTTTTTGGGGGTTTTGAATGGAGGCAGGCCTGACAAGCAGTATATAAGTGCTATTGCTATTTCTGTTGCTATTTTTTTTCAAAATTCTAGTCATTTCTTCCTAAGAGGACATTGTACAGACCTCTTCTTCCCCCCCTCCCAATTTTTTTAATGTTGAAATTGAACATTCAGAGATTACTATGTACAGATAGTCCTCAACCTATAACCATTCATTTAATGACCCAAGTTACAATGACACTGAAAAAAATGACTTATGACTGTTTTTCACACGACTATTGCAGCATCCCCATGGTCATATGATCAGAATTTGAATGCTTCGCAACTGACTTGTACTTATGATGGTTGCAGTGTCCTGGGGTCACGTGATCACCTTTTGTGATCTTTTGACAAGCAAAGTTAATGGGAAAGCCAGATTCACTTAATCATGTTACTAACTTAACTGCAGTTATTCACTTAACAATGGCAATAAAGGTTGTAAAATGGGGTAAAATTCACTTGATAACACGCTTGCTTAACAACAGGGCTCAGTTGTGGTTATAAGTCAATGTAGTATAAGTATATGTAGTCTTCACTGGAGTTTATTACAGATACTTATTATGACAGCAGCTTTTTAAAATTTAGCACATTTTTGTGAGGTGTAAATGTGTGTCTGCCCACCACATTGCAAGACACTTAAGAGAATAATTACGACAAACTGTTGCAACAAGTAAAGAAAGATCTAGAATCATGGGGCAGGCTGCAACTTTCATTATTGGGCAGGATTGCATCTATTAAAATGAATATTCTCCCAAAGTAATTTATACTTATTTCAGACAATTCCAGTTAAACTACATAGAATTTTTTTTGAAGAACTTAACAAAATAACTGTTAAATTTATTTGGCAAGGGAAAAAATCTAGAATAAATTTAAAGGCAATGCAGGATTTGAAGAGCAGGGGAGGGTTGGCACTTCCAAATTGGGAATTGTATTATACGGCAGCCTCTCTAGTATGGTTAAAAGATTGGGTGAATTTAATTAATAAGAGAACGTTATTTTTAGAAGGCCATGATTTGCAGAGGGGGTGGCATGCCTTTTTATGGGAGGTAGGGAAAGTTAATCAGACATATTTCCATAGACATCTAACTAGAGATTCATTATTAACCAATTGGAAAAATATACGGAAAAAACACTACCTAAGAGTACCAATTTGGTTATCGACAATGGAGGCGATGATTCACCCAAACAATCTGGACATTACCAAAATGATTAAATATAAGGATTTATTGGATACACAAGGAAATTTGAAGTCGGGACAAGAGCTGCAAGAGCAGGGATTTAAAATCGATCAGTGGGTATATCTCCAAATTCATAGTAGATACAAACAGGATAGGAAAGAATTCGGAATTAACAATAAACTCCAGCAATTAGACAAAATTTTACTAGGATCAGACAAGAAAAATATAACTAAATTTTACAACTATCTATTAGAAGTAGAGTTAGAAGAAGAGACAGTTAAAGGGAATATGATAGCCTGGAGTAGGAACGTAGGACGGAGTATCACTTTAATAGAATGGGAAAAGATCTGGAGTAGAAACAATAAGATCATAAAATCGGCAGCATATAAAGAAAACGCTTATAAAATGTTTTACAGATGGCACCTTCCTCGAGATTAGCGAAGATGCGCCCCAACATGAGTCTGAAATGCTGGAAATGTAAAAGAAAAGAAGGAACCTTTTTTCATATGTGGTGGTCCTGTAAAGAAGCCCAAAAATACTGGCAGAGAATTAGAAATTGGCTGGAAGATATAACAAAAGAACAGATTGAGTATAAACCAGAGTCCTTCCTGTTAGGGATTTTCAATAAACAGCTATCAAAAAAAGTGAAGTACATAACAATACACATATTAACAGCGGCCAGACTAGCTTTTGCTCAATGTTGGAAGTTACCTCATATACCTACAGAACAGATGATCATCCAAAAAATCTCAGACTGCAGAAATGGACAAACTAACTTTAGCCTTAAAAAATAAAGATTTTTCAATATATTATAACAATTGGAATTGCTGGTATAAATGGTTAGAACAAAGACAGATTCTATATCATAAGGCAAAAAAGAATAGGACAAATCTATATGAGTGATATATAAACACATATGGATAAGGTGTGCGTATATGGCATAAATCAAGAAAAGAAAAGATGTTACAAGCTGTTGAAAATGAGAATGTTTTAAAGTGTTTTTTTTTCCATTCTTTTTTCTTCTTTTTTGCTCTTCTATCTGTGTATGTGTTGTTGATTTGTTTTTAATTGTAAAATTAATAAAACTTATTGGTTTTTTTTAAATGTGTGTGTCTGCCAAAATCAAACTTATCTTTCAATGGATCTCTCTTAAAGGATATAAGGTACATTCAGACGAATAGCCAAGATATCATATTGTTATTTTTTGCGAGTACCTTCCAAAGTTAGTGTCAGAGTGCACACAGTTTTCCTACACGAGACAACCCAGGAGCAATAACAGCAAACAGGTTTGTAATAAATAGTGGCTTTATCTACAAAAGAATATATACTATACGTACACATATATAGGGAGCCTCGGTGGCGCAGTAGTTAGAATGCACTACTGCAAGCTACTCCTACTGCAATTTGGCAAATTGAATCCTACCAGGCTCAAGGTTGATTCAGTCTTCTATCCTTCCGAGGTGGGTAAAATAAGGACCCAAATTGTTGGGGGCAATATGCTGACACTAAACCGCTTTGAGGGGGCTGTAAAGTACTATAAAGTGGTATATAAGTCTAAATTCTATTGCTATTGCTATATAGGCAGAAGTCAAACAAGCAGCAATTATATCAGGGAAGAACACAGAGTTGTCCTATCAGGGCCTCTTATTATACAGGCTCTTAAAGGGACAACAGACAAAAACCTTGCTGGCTCATTCTCATCATTACTTGATTCCCATTTTTTGCTGACTCTTTTAATCCATATATGGCTTTATTTAATTTATATACATATCCAGGGTTTTCTATTTCATAACCTGGAGCTTGAGCCATATATATTTCTTCTAATTCTGCATTTAAATATGTAGTAGAAATATCAAAGTGATGTATACTTGCATGCAGCTGCTAAAGCCAATGGTCTTACTGTTGGTACAAACACTTTGTCATAATTAACGTTTTTTCCTTTGCATAAGTCCCAGTGCAACTAACTTCCTTATACTGCAGTTCGTTGTTGGGTAACTCATTTTTATGTACCCATTTACACCCCACTGCCTTTTGTCCTTCTGGTAATCTCATGGATGTAAAAACCTGACGCACATTCATAGACTCCATTTCACTGTCCATAGCTTTCTTCCATTTGTCCTGTTCTGCCTTAGGCAACGTCAACAGCTCTTGTAATTACAGGGCTCATATCGAACACTACATACTCTAACCCCACTTGCTGAGAGCTGATTAGGAGGTACACCTTTATTGCTTCTTTCAGATCTCTTTGGTATCATCTGTTCCTGTCATTCCGCGACTTCTTGTTTTTATCCTCTTCTATATCTACTACTTCTGACCTATTTTCCTGTTTTCCTTTACTGGGCTTTTTATAGCTTTTCCTTCCAGAGAACTAGTGCTGTGCGTTAGCATGAACACCATGCGCCCCATTCCAATTATTTTGGTCTGCAAAATTAGCAGATTGTGAAATTACCACCTTTCTGGTTCCATCTGTGAATCTGTAACCTTTGGTACT